CAGCTATCTCGTGAAATTCTGAGATAGCTGCGATAAAATAAACAAAAACAAAGGAGGCACGCTACTTTGTTCACTGTTGTTCCAACCACCACCATCAGATCATTTGTGATCTTATGGCTGAGAAGCGATCTGACGCGATTTTCCGTGGAAGGTCTCTGTTTGTTTGTTTTTCGTTTTTGCCTTTCTCTTGTGTTCTCCGCCCAGAAATTCGTAATGAACCTGTCAGGCCGCTGCCACTCCATGTCACACTGGGTCGGCCACACTCCTATCTGACTGCTAATGGGACCATGCTCCAGGAGGGTCTCTTGGGTCCAATCCCCATTGGCCTCATGTACCTTCCTGGGCAAGCTCGGTGCCCGCCACCTAGAAATAGGCCACATTGGTCCCCCCGGGCGGCATTGAGCAGAGACTGCTGGTGTTCGTAGGGGGAGGGGACCAGAGGGACGGCACAGTGGTTGGCCCATCGAAGAAGCTCAGTCCTGATGCTACCAGCTGATCCCTGGCGATACAGTGACTGGCCCATCGAAGAAGTTCAGTCCTGATGCTACCAACTGATCCCTGGCGATACAGTGACTGACCCATCGAAGAAGCTGGGTCCTGATGCTACCGGCTGATCCCTGGTCGATATCGCTCACCTACTGTAGCAGGTATCGCACCTGCTGGGGGGGTGTGAGGTTTTGGTGCCATGGCCTTTGCCTTCCCAGAATTGGCAGAAAACTCAGAAAAGACTGAGTCCTTGGTGGTGGCAGGGTGAGATTGTCTTCCTGATGGAGGGGCCCATTTTGAACCCTCAAGCCTGTTGAATAAAAAAGACATAAAAAGACAATTGAGTCAAATTGACAAAATTGAAAATCCATTTTTTAATTTTATTTTTATTTTTCCATATCTTTTAATCAGAGATGGAATTACCCATCCTTCTGCAGGCTTGGCATGATCAAGCTCAAGCGCGAGCAAAAGGGTGCAAAGTGACTCCAAGGCATACTATTTTACTGGCACTATTGGATCACCGGGACGTATCTGCCAGCTATTGTGTCCAGATTCAGTCCAGAGACTCGTGCCACCATGAGTACGATGAACTCGGACATACAAATCCCACAACACCCGTTCACTGTACTCTTCGTGGTCGGTGCCATGAGAGGTACGGAATCGTCAACTGTCCACTAAAAAACTACACCTCCCAACTGCCCACCACTCTCCCTCTCGTGGCACCGACCACGACATGAGAGGGACGGAATACAGTGGCTACACTGGCTAGTTAGTTAATGAGTGAGTTTTTAGCTTTTGGACAATTTCTCCATTTATGCGTGGCATCCTCGTGCAGGGGGCGTGGTGATCTTCTCTGTAATCTCCCAAAGGACTGGATTCTCATTTTTTCTGGCCACAAAAATACAGTAAGAGACCATCATTTTGGACTGCTACAGGCTCAGCAAGTTCTGGAAGAAGTAATCAGGACCGCAACCCAAGAAGCATGGAGGACGATGAGAAGAGGTCATAGGGAAGAAAAAGAGCCCCGGGCCAAGGAATCCATCCTGCACACATACAGAGTACTGTGGCAAGACCCCTCCAAGCTATTCAGTGAACTGAATGCTGATCTGGACATCCATTGGAAACCATGGAGGTCCACGGAACGGTCGTGGCAGAGGAGACCCAGGGAGGAGTTCCAAGTGCAGTACCTGCAACCTAACTTTATTCTTGTAA